TAATTCAAACCAAGCCTGCATTTTAAATCCACTAGCACAGAGTTAGAGACTGAAAGTGACATAGACCCCACGTGTAAACTCACAAAATGTTTTCATCGAGGAATCAAAACACACAGCTTCAGTCACGGACAATTCCCGCCACCCTGAACAGATATATTTTCCATTAGATGGCAGTGTAAGGTCAGATTTAAACCTTCTAAAAAACAGCTAGCCCCAAGTCAGGGGAAGACCCAGGCCTGTGCACTGAGCGAAGAGACACAAACCGGCACGTTCTTCACACCTCAGCACTCACTTTCCAGTATGAGGACTGTCTGCAGCAATGACCATGCAGCATGCAAATCAACGGGGCTCCTTCTGACCGCCCTCGCTGCCCCACAGTCAGGCTCTGAGACTGCCCTCGCCGCCCCCACAGTGAGGCCTGGCTGCAGTGGTCTTATTCTGCGTGTGCATCGAAGAGAACACGCTTTCTTGATTTGGTGGATGGAAGATGGGGGGGGAGGCGACAATGAAAGTGGGCATTGCTAGTTCTTTGTGTGCATGCTACACATATTTTTTGTAGCTTTAACTTTTTAGCAATATAGTTTACACTCTGTTGTATTAAGTAACATAAGTTTGTTTCCATTCTTTTTTTTTTGTCTGACCCAGTTTCTGGACTTGCAGGCACTCTCACTGCCCATCTGTTTTTACACAAGTTCCAAAGGTAAAGTCACCTAAGGCTCTTTTCTTCTGCACTCGTATTAAGAATTAATTTGCTGTCAGTTTTCCTGTTTTAAAATGTAGTCTTCTAAATTTGGTGGGAAAATTGAAATTGGTCTTTTCTGTCTGAAAGCTAAGCCGATTAGAAGAAAATCAGGTTTGCATTGCCCATGAAACCCATGTAGAAATAAAACAGATACTAGTGGTGCAACAACTGACTATTCTAGACAGCCATTCCCAGGTAATAATTCACAAAAACAGTCGGAGATCATATAAAACAGCAGAAAGCCCCTGTTTTCTGTCCCCACTCCCACATACAGACTGTCTCCTGCACATCACCCATAAATATCCTCGTTAGGCAACTGAGTATTGATTTCAAGAAACAAAGCCTAGCAAAGGTTTTTACTTAACATGAACCTGTTTTTACCTTCCTTTTTGGTTTAAATAGTTTGTCATCATTACAACTGAAGTCATGCAAAGACCACATATATTTGTGACAATTGCCATTGTAAATCAGAAATATAGACCTTTTACAAGCAAATCCTAGTCTCAATTCAAAGTGGTTATTTTTTCTGAGCAATTAGTAACATTTTTATAAGTATCATGACACCCTGTGTGCAAAAACATCAATTACAAATTTAGGAATATGAAGGGTCTTAACAGCCAAAGACAGCCAATAAATGCCAAGTTATTAAACTTGTAGGCTGAAAGAAAAAAGTATGCACGCTGGGTCCACCGGTAAAATATTTATTAAACTCTGACTCACCCCAAAGAGCCACAAGGCAACTGTACTGTTACTCTCACTGGCTTTGCCACGTTCAGCTGAGCCGGCCACCACCCTGCAGGGCCCCTCAGGTTCCCAGTCTGCACACTAGACCGTCAGCTGTCGAGACTTTATCACCACAAACGGACTTATCTCCTGAAGGCCGCCCCCCCACCGCAATCTGATAACTCACTGGAACCACAGGGGAGCATTTAATGGCCAGCACTCACAATTCTTCAAACCCTTTTTTTTTTTTTTTTTTTTTTTGAGACAGACGCTGTTGCCCGGGCTGGAGTGCAGTGGCGCGATCTCGGCTCACTGCAACTTCCACCTCCTGAGTTCAAGCGATTCTCGTGCCTCAGCTTCCCAAGTAGCTGAGATTACAGGCGCCTGCCACCACGCCCAGCTGATTTTCTAGTTTTAGTAGAGATGGGGTTTCACCACGTTGGCCGGGCTGGTCTTGAACTCCTGACCTCAAGTGATCCACCCGCCTTGGCCTCCCAAAGCGCTGGGATTACAGGCGTGAGCCACCACGCCCACGCCCAGCCTCAAACCTTTTTAAATATGTTTCCACAAACAAATAATACCAAAACCCTATTATTCCTTCAATACTGACATTTTCAAAAAGTAGGTGCTCTCTAGGTTTTTAATTTTTTTTTAAAAACTGCAAATGACATTAATAAACAGAACTAAAAGACAGTATGGATCCTGACCTGAGTACAACACCATCCTCTACAAAGACCAAAGCCTTCATCTGAAAAATAGTAAGGAAATCAGCAAAATAAAACCCACATTAATATTTTACAATCTGCCTTTCCTTCCTTTTATCTTTCTCTAAAATAAGATTTTTCTAACGGAAGTCAAAGAATTCAGTAAGACAAACACAACTTTCTTGACAGTATCTAAAAAGAAAAAAAGGAACCTGGAAAAGCATTTTTCTGGTCAAAAGCATTTTCTTCTCTTTGTTTCTACACCTATTCTTACTTTCATCTTTCATTTTCTTGCCTCCTGGAATCTCTATATCTAGCCTCTCTTTCTTTTGAAAGTCTTTTGCCAAACACTTTCAGATGGACAGAAGGATGACTGGGTGTCTGTTCACGGCCTACAGGTCCCTCCCCGTGTTCCCTGATGCTACAGGATCTGCGCCTTCCTGTTCATTGGCTATTCTGAGTCTCTGTTAGAAAGACAGAGCTGGCTTGTGGAGGGCTAATGGCGATGCCAGGGACTCCTGCCCACAGAAATGCACGTCAGGTGAGGATACCACTGGCCCGTCCAAGACGGAGTGATGGTCGTGCATCTTTAGGCATTTCTCGTTGCGTTATGACTCACCTCTGGACTTTCCTTTGGGCTGGATTTAACATTAAATCTCACTGGTTCTTTCCTTAATTATGAGTTAAATAAAAGCTCTGACACCTATTCATTTTATATTTGTGTAAGAATCATGATTTTCCCTTTTTCAAAACTTATCCTTTAATATTTTACTTTATCCCATGGCTGAGCAAATATTTCTGAAACTTAAGTAACCATCTGTACAGTAACAGATGAAATCTGTTAATTTTATTCCCACTGAAGTACTTATTAAATAAACGTACATAACATTATTTTAAAATTTTAAAACACTTTAGTACCCTGGAATCCTAAGTCATTGAAAAAACTTTTCCCGTGTGGCAGAACAATGAATAGTATATATCCAAGAAGAGCAAAGAATCCTGTAAGGATGGAACTTCTCAGGCACTTGCTATGCTCTTCGGAAGTTGTTTACCTCCTCACTCCCTGATTCCTCACATCGACCCTAAGGAACAGGTACTGCATTGTACACCTGAGGAAACTGAGGCAAAAGGAAGCTAAGTAACCTACTCAATGTCATATTGCTAGTAAGTGGCAGAGCCCAAGTTCAAATTGAGAGAGTTTTGCCCCACACAAAACCCAATGACCTCTCAGAGAAGAAAATTTTAAGAAAGCTAAGTACTTTCAGTGCCATTATTCTTCACTGCCATTACCAATGTTATCAAATAATTAACCTGAAACTTATTAAGAACACTGCTGTTAGAGGCAGTTCAGGCCAAACCACTTTGTGGGTAGCTGAGAAGGTGTGAGGAGGCAGAGAGAACAGGGGTGAGGGGCATACACCAAAACGAAAGTGGAAGAAATCATGTTTATGATAGTAAACATCTGAATGAATCCTAACTTTGATAACTTTGTCCAAGTCTCATACAAAATGTATTCTGTATATCTGCATATTCCTTTTGCCCATGTATAAAACTGGCGCTTGGTTATGACGAACAGCTCAGAGGGCCTCCGGCTCCACACTTCTGCGGCAGGTTGGAAAGAGACTGGCTTTCCAGAGCCTTGAAGCAGCCCATAAAGGGGCTTACTATCAACTGCAAGTCTATTCATGCTTAAAACTACGCTCAAATAAACACCCAACTGTTACCATTCTTTTCTAAACCTTCCCAATCTTTAAACTCTTAATTTTGGAGGCATGGAATCCTTAACCAGCTCTAGAATGGCCCCTACTGCCAAAATGTTTCAAAGACGTTACCTAGAACAGTCCAAGTCCACCCGAAACTGCTAAGCCCCAGACTTTCTCAACTCTTTCAACTTTCCCAAAACAAGCACGCTGCCTCCCCTCGGCCAGGGGCAAACCCCAGCCGGTGGAAATGAAGCGTGCTGTCTGAATTACTAATGATCTTCAACCATAGAGAGAGACGATTGGAGAACAGCCGGTGGAAATGAAGTGTGCTGTCCGAATTACTAACAATCTTCAACCATAGAGACAGAGACAATTGGAGAATTTTCCCTATTCCTAGAAAACCCTAAACTAAAACCATGGTTAAAGTATTAACAGTGCTAATCTGTCACTTTTGGTGAGCGTTTACAGAGCAATACTCAGTACACAATTCCATAAGCAGAATCACTAAGGCCAGAAGATAAATCAGCCGCGATTAATATGTCAGGTGAATTGTTTAAGTAGAAAGGCACTACTTAGAAAAGTTACTAAAACACTGTACTAGGAATTTGGAAAAAAAACTCTAGATTCAGTTATAAGGAATCTTGAAAGATATCATTTACCTGGCAGAATTCTGATGATTAAAGTTAAATAAGTCTGGATTAAGCAAGAATGAGAGGTAGACATTATAGACAAAATTAAAGACCAGATTAGACCTGACTATTCTAAAATACTTCTAGAAAAATCAAGAAAACAGTAGATTACGAATTCTATTTTGACTTCAGGTGCCATCTACCTATTTAAACTTAACCATCTCTAGATAACATACTAAAGACTTTTCTTTTTCACAAAATGCAAAATCAAAACACTAAAGACGTAAAAGTAGTTTTAGCCAGAAGTTTTAACTAATTGCAAAGTTTACTTGCAGCAAAGCTAAACAGACCTCATAAATAACACCCGTCTCCAAACAACTGAGATGTCTTCAATTGTGCTTCCTGGGATGCTTCTGGAGTTTGAGTCCCTTTCCTGTAAGTATATAAAACTTTTCAGGAACTGAAAAATAAAGAAGACTGAAAGCAAGATGGTACTCACTTTTCAATCTCAATGCCAAGCGGGTTAGCAGGACGTAAGGACAAGGGTGGGATTCCTTTGTTCCTGTCAGTACGCATATCGTAGTAATTCATTTCATCAACCCACACAGCAGACTGATCCAAAATGCCTACAGAAATGAGGAGTATGTGCTTAATAAAGTGAAGGCTGCCCCAGGCACCTTCTAAGTCTGGCCTATTGCCTTGCTTCTTAAAGACCTAATACAAAATGCCAGTTGGATAATTTTTAAGAGATTTGAGGACATAACAGCTAAATTTTAAAAAAATGACTACTAGTTTAATTATAAGCACTAAAAAAATCTATAAAAAGGCAAAAATAACACCTCTTGGCTTATGGCTTCATTGTATATTACTCAACAGAGAAGACAAATTAAGCTGCTTAGAAAAAGTTTTGCAATAACAAACGTATTTTACAAATAATAAACTCTACAATTAAACATTGTTAAATGTAGCTGATTAAATCTGTACAAAAATTCAGAAAGTTAGTAAGATGAAATATGACCTATAATATCTGTTTATTCAAGAGAATATTCTGAAATCATGTAAACTCTTGGAAAACGTCTGGGAGACACCCAAGCACAAAACATTTGAGTTCAATGTTAGCTCAGTGGAAAGCTTCTGGTTTACGACAAATGCCAAAAAACCATTATGCACATATGATTTTATATTTAATACTGTGAGTTTCTGCCTCTGGGTTCCATAAGCTACCTAAGGACATTTCACTACAAATGAAAACCAAATGTTTTTGAAATGGTTCTTGAAAGCTCTCAAGAAACATCTTTTATTTTCTTTTCCTCTACAAACACTGGCATGTTTTCAAGAATAGTTATGCAAAAATACTACGCTGCTTACACTGCTTGCTATTTCTCATTCTTTCTACTGTTGTCAGTGCTGGAAACGTCCTAGATGGCAGAAGCAGCAGGTCTTCTTTTCCATTTAGGCTGAAATCAATTTGGCGAATTCAATAAAATATCAAACACCTTTCAAGGAAGGCAGGGCTTGTATAATGGAAATGACCAGGCTACTCAGGGAAAACTGACTGGGTGTGGACCCTGTGAACAAGACAACATAAGCTCTAAAAACAGCATCTTCCTTTACAGGACCGAACTCCTTATCATTCAACCTCGCACAGGTCTTACCAGCTAGGCCTCCAGGGCCCTGGGGGGCAACAGAAAAAGAGCCGAGTGCCAGGGAGCACAGACAAAGCGTGCCCGCCTCCCCAGGCGAGGGTCAGAAAGCTTCATGGGGGAAGGCTGTCTGAATACCAGGCAACCTGTAGCGGCAAGGCTATGAACCCACCACTCATTCTCTCAGCACTCGTGGTTCTGCCAGCATGCAACAGGGGCTTTGTCAGAGGTTCTGCTCGAGTCCAGGCACTCTTGAGCTCAGTTCAAGAAAGCTTTACTGGCCAGGCGCAGTGGCTCACACCTGTAATCCCAGCACTTTGGCAGGCCGAGGTGGGCAAATCACAAGGTCATGAATTCAAGACCAGCCTGACCAACACGGTGAAACCCTGTCTCTACTAAAAATACAAAAATTAGCTGGGCGTGGTGGCGCACACCTGTTCCCAGCTACTACAGAGGCTGAGGCAGGAGAATCACTTGAACCTGGGAGGCGGAAGTTGCAGTGAGCCGAGAACCAGATCCTGCCAATGCACTCCAGCCTGGGCAACAGAGCAAGACTCTGTCACAAAACAAAAAGAAAAACAAAAAAAGAAACCTTTACTAAGCCTACTATGTGCCAGGTCCTGAGCTGAGTGTTCTAGAATAACAAAATTACCACTTTTACCTAAGTTTTCTTTATCTGCTATGTAGATTATAAGATACTAGATTTTTATCAAAATGTTTAAGTTCCTCTAGAAAACTGTGTAACAAGTTCCTGCTTTAGTTTCACAGGTTCTGGAAGACACTAAAGAAAGTAAACAAAATGGAAATGTTATATATGTATATATGTACACATGCACGTACATGTACATACATAAAGTCCACTCCGAATTTTCCCTGAAATTCCTTGAATTTTTATTTATAAAAATAATCTAGGAATTTGTGGAGAACAATGCTGCAGAAAGCCTCTATGCTCTAAGAATTAAAAAAAAAAAATTTGCAAAATTATTTATTTTCTTCATAAAGAGAAGTACTGGCTGGGTTTAATTATGCCTCAGATATTCCTACATTATACAAATATTTATCAAATGCTGACCATGTGCAAGACATTACAGGACCACAAAGATGAATCTGATATTACTCTTATTCTAAAAAGGGAAAGAGACATGCACAGAAATAGCTACAAGAAAGATGATTAGAAATTATTAATTTGTTGGGTAAGGGACTAGGCTAAGCACTTGACATTTGTGTTCTAACTCACCTAATCCTATGAGGTAGCCAGTATTATTCCACTTTCGCTCATGGAGAAACAAGGCATTAAAGTTACATACTTAGTCATGGTAAGACAGCCCAGGTTAGAATTCGAAGAACATAACTTCTCAGACCAAGTTCCTAACACTGCTAACAGAAGGCAGCAAGTGGTCAGTGCATAAAGAAGGAAAACATCAAGTGCTATGTGGTTCAAAGAAGAGTGAGTATCACTCACGTGGGGTTAGAAGCAGCCAAGCCAGGAAATGTATCATCTGGGCCTTGAAGGATGGATAAAATGAAGGAAAAGGGAATGTTGTTTAGATATATTATTACTAATTTGGCCAAATCAGGATTTTCCACCTCAAACCTTGTTTAAGAGTTTCAAAGCAATGTCATTATATTCAAGATCAAGGAACCAAAACCGGTATATCGAATGAACGAACAGATTTTGAGAATTTAGAAAAGTAGTTCTCATATGATCGTCATCCTTAGGCTTCACTAACTGTTATTTCAGCACACTGCCTTCCCGAAAGTAATACAAATATTAACCAACATTCCACTCCTGTCAAAATAAACATAAACTAAATCTAAGTTGAGATATGCAAGTAGGTAAGTTTTACATGAATCCACCAGTTTTACATCTTAAAAGACAAACTCAGGTTTACTTTCTTCTTTAGAATAAACCCATGAGAGACTTTACCTATTTTCTCAGGTTTCAGAAGCTTGAAAGAGACTGTTGAGGTTCCTCTGCCACCTGACTTAGTGGTGACAATAATGTCTCCTTTGTCATTTTTGGCTTGTCCCACTCGACATACTATTTTACTTGCAGACATCCATTCTGCCGTCAGGAGGCAATTATGTCCACAAATTGTCAAGCCTGAAAAAAGCACATGTGCATTAAAAAATCCAAAGACAAGAACAATAAGACCTTAATCATGTAGATTACATTTTAAAAATCTAGCAATAATTTTCTTGTTCAATAATTACATTTATTATTGAATATACCCAATATTATTTGCAGAGATACTGTTATCTCTATTGACTTTTCCTCTTATCTGTTTTTTTCTCTAATATTTAAGACTTATTTTAGGCTACATTTAAGTTTCTTCAAACATCAGTAGAATTAGAAAATGAACAATCACAGTAACTATGTTCTAGGCATTCCAGATTACTTAGATTACGAGAATCTTAAAATGCTTTCAGAAGTAATAAAAGGGAAACTTGCTATTATTTGAAGTCTCAGTTATTAACGTAGAATTTTAAAGTATATGAATAAATTTATGTATCATTTTCTAAAAACATTCTATATTCACCCATCTTCCTCAAAAAACTTCACGTACTTTTTCTAGTGTTCACTTACACACAGTATTACAGAATGAACTCAAGTAGGTTTTTTATTTAAGCATAACCAAGAGTATGGTAATCTAGTGAAGTGTGCTCAGGCACTACTGGATTACTATCTCACTTTTACGTCGGTGTATAGCTGCTAGCAAGCTAGTTCCTCCTGCCCTAGTGTTTTTCTAATGAAACTGTCGCTACACTACATTCTGCTCTTACGGAGCCTCCACTCCCAAAACGTCAACTCATGATGTCACCTCCCTCATACCACGTGAAACAAAATTTAGGTAATAACCGAACCGAGAGGCACCGAAAGACGGAGTGAATAAGGCACACACCCCGGGGGGTACCAGCACGGCACCACAGGGCCAGCCGGCCTTCCAACTCACACCCCGGAACAGGTACCAGCATGGCACCACAGGGCCAGCCGGCCTTCCAACTTATACCCCGGGACAGGTACCAGCACGGCACCACAGGGCCAGCCGGCCTTCCAACTCACACCCCGGGGGGTACCAGCACGGCACCACAGGGCCAGCCGGCCTTCCAACTCACACCCCGGAACAGGCACCACAGGGCCAGCCAGCCTTCCAACTCACACCCCGGGACAGGTACCAGCACGGCACCACAGGGCCAGCCGGCCTTCCAACTTACTTCCTTTAAATTTTCTGTTTCCACAAAGCAGAGACCAGTGGAATTAATATTTATGGAGGGAAGAAACCAGAATGTATGTGGCACAGACACAGACACAGACACAGACACAGACACAGACACTTGACGTTTTCTTTTTTTTTTTGAGACAGGGTCTTGCTCTGTTGCCCAGGCTGGAATGCAGTGGCGTGATCTTGGCTCATTGCAACCTCCACCTCCCACGCTCAAGCCATTGTCCAGCCTCAGCCTCCCAAGGAGCTGGGACTACAGGTAAGCGTCACCACCACGACTGGCTAGTTTTTTGTTTTGTTGTGTTTTTGTTTTTATATTTTTTTTGAGACACGGTTTCGTCATGTTGGTCAGGCTGGTCTCGAACTCCTGCCCTCAAGTGATCCACCTGCCTTGGCCTCCCAAAGTGCCGGGATTACAGGCGTGAGCCACCGTGCCCCGCAGACACTTCACACTTTCTTTTCTCATTATCTAATTTTCAATAATGCTCAGCAGTAAGGTTTAGCAATTGCAACGTTTTCTTTTGGCTTTTTTTCAGATACCAGAAATACCTCGAGTAATGCCAAATCTGACTTTTAAAACGGAGGGACAAAGTCAAACCATCTTTCATTCTGACGTAAAGAACTATTTAGTAAAGGCTGTTAAACCACAAAGGGATAAAAGCAGCTATGCTTTAAAGATACATTGCTTGAAATAATGAATTTTAGGGGTTTCTCTAAAATACCTGTAATTCACTAATGTCTGCAACTTTGTTTTTCCAATAATGGCATTTAATGGTTTCTTTGGGACTATGGTTTCTATTGGTATATATTAATTATAATAACACATTTTTAAATGTATTCATTATTCAAAATTATTGTTTTCAAAATAATTGGATGGCATATCTTTGATATTTTTTCTAATAATTTTTGTTATGAAAAACTTAAATAACTTAAGAGACTAAAAGCCTCTCCAAACTCCACCTCGCAAGAGAAATATACTGCTAACATGTCAACGTTCACTTGCTCAAGTGATTTTGTGCATATAAAAACCAGTCTGTATGTTTTTTAAACAAATGTTTAATTTGTAACCTGCTTAATTCTCGACAGTAGATATTTTGGTATCATTCCAGGTCAACAGAAAACTTAATATTTTTAAGTATTTTAATATCAGATTTTTGTGATTTTTAAACATTAACTCACTTCAGAATGAAGAATAACCCAACAATTAATGTCAGGGAGCAATGTAAAAATACAAATAGTATCTTCATTAAAAGAAAAAAGTCATCCCTAATGAAATTTCCTTGCTAGAGAACTACCTTATGATTAAAACTGAGGAATAAGAGCAAACTTCAGATATAAAGTATTAAAAAACGTTCACATTAGCAAACCTGAATGATATGCATGAAGGTACACGTGGGCACAGAAGTGCCCCTAGAACAATAGTTTATTCTTTGGGTCTCAGCTGCTTTCACGATTCCTCTGATTTAATATCTGTTATGCATTTTTACTCCAAAAAAAATGAATAATCAGTAAATAATTTAAACATAGATCCAAGTAGATCATTTTAAATGTTATGAAAAAAGATCACAAGACCTATTTCTTGATTTATTAAGCACATTTTTCCTACGTTATGCAAGAAATCTGCTTCATGAAATATAATAGCACCTTTTAGGAAAAAAAAAGTAACTCATAGAATCCCAAGTAAAGTACTTTTTATAGTGCTTTGCCTGGCTAGTATAGATATCATCTGAGCTAAAAACGCTTAAATTATTTAGCAGGTTAAGTTTGCTTTTTTAAAAAATGGTTTCTTGGCAATATATAAGGCCGGTTGAAAGCTGAACTAGCATGGTTTAGAAAAGTAATACATGGGTCAGGCAAGGTGAGGCATGCCTGTAATCCCAGCATTTTGGGAGGCCAAGGCAGGCAGATCACTAGGTCAAGAGACGGCGACCATCCTGGTCAACATGGTAAAACCCCAACTCTACTAAAAATACAAAAATTAGCTGGGTGTGGTGGCAGGCGCCTGTAGTCCCAGCTACTCGGGAGGCTGAGGCAGGAGAATCGCTTGAACCCAGGAGGTGGAGGTTGCAGTCAGCCAAGATCACACCACTGCACTCTAGCCTGGTGACAGAGCGAGACTCCATCTCAAAACGAAAAACAACAAAAAGAAAAGTAATACACGCCTAGTCAAATAAGAACAGCATTGCCTGAAGCTAAAACAAGATTAAAATTTACCTGGACCATTGTCATGTTTGGAGCTCACAATGACTGCCAGCAAAAATCCTGGACAGAACCCCCACCCGCATGAGTAGATTTCCATACATTTTGGGGATTTTTCCACTTAGGTAAAGAAACATCTGGAATGAGCTTTATCAAAAACCAAGGCATAGGATTAGATAAGACTACTTTTGCAGGAATAAATTGAAGTGATGTTTACTAAACAATCAAAAACTACCCAGGTTTTCTCCCCTGATTGTGACCTTTGTCCATGGTATCCCTTCATTTGGAGAGATGTCCGTCACAGTTAAGAGAAAACAATATCAGGCCGGGCGCGGTGGCTCAAGCCTGTAATCCCAGCACTTTGGGAGGCCGAGGTGGGCGGATCACGAGGTCAGGAGATCGAGACCATCCTGGCTAACACGGTGAAACCCCGCCTCTACTAAAAAAAATACAAAAAACTAGCCGGGTGAGGTGGCGGCGCCTGTAGTCCCAGCTACTCAGGAGGCTGAGGCAGGAGAATGGCGTGAACCCGGGAGGCGGAGCTTGCAGTGAGCTAAGATCTGGCCACTGCACTCCAGCCTGGGCGGCAGAGCGAGACTCCGTCTCAAAAAAAAAAAAAAAAAAAAAAAAAAAGAGAAAACAATATCAAATGAGACATAACATCAGCAAAAAGAATTGGCTAGGCAGTGCAAAACTCAGTCACTACACACAGTGCTGACCTCTCGTTCACTTTTTCTTTTTAAAGAGCTTTCTGGATGGCCAAAAACCAATCTATCAACCAGCAGTCATAACGCAGGAAAAGCAAGTTCCAACTCATGATTTCAGGATCTTACCAACAAGTCCGTCATCAGTGCAGAAAAGATTAGAGAGAATGTCTGAGTCTAGAAGAAATTTATATGGGAAGCCAGAAGATACATTCCGTAGCACGTAGACAGGTCTTGGCCTTCCTCGTTCGGAACGCATCTGTATACCCACCTGAGCAGTTCACAGGCCGGTAACCATAACTGGCCGTAAAATTGTATTTAAAACTCTCTACCCTGGCTGTCCCTAATACCCACGTATATTTTAAAAAATAATGTTTAGGCTCCATCTTTAGAGACTGAAACTTAATAGGCCAAATAATTTACTTTTAAAGTTCTAGGGAGATTCAGAAAAGCCAGGGCTGAGAAGCACTGACAGACCTGAGTGCTTCAAGAACAGGCCATCAGTAAAGGCCTCCACATCATGGAAAGGGGAAGGGTGCCACGCACGCCAACATCCAAAAATATTCACACCACACCAACCGGATGTGTGGTGTTCTAACCATGCATGACCTTGAGCTTAAACTCCGCTAGAAAAGATAGAAAACATAAACTGACCCTAAAAACTAAACGTTGGCTTGCTGCAGACAGGATCCACAGACCACAGCGAGGACTGCAGACAGGACCCACAGACCACAGTGAGGACACACGCCCGCAGGTGGAGTGAAGAGAGCCAACTGCTGCCTGTGCCACCGGGAGATGGGGCTGAGACTTGCTCTGAAGAGCAATAAGGAACAGAAAAGGTGTAACTCACAGAGCCCCTGAGAAGCAACAGACAAGGCAGACAAGGGAAGGAAAACTAATGAGAGCAAAATATAAAAGCAGCTGTTTCGGCAATCAAGGCATCAAAGCTGCGGAAAATTCGGAGGCAAATCTCAGCCCTGGGAAACCTTCTGAAGGATGTGAAAGACAATATAAGGCAAGATTTGACAAAATAATGATTTTCACACAAAAATCAGAAAGCCAGATACTTCTTTCATCTTTTTGGAGCGTTCTGTGGAGACTACAAAGATGTTTGTCCTATCACCTTCACTATTTGAAAATTACATCCCTTGTCTCCGTCGTCCACACAAGAATCCGAGTAGCACGGTGCGTCGCAGGGCCGCTGCCCTTACCTATGAGGTCAGTGGGGCCCGTCCCCAGGTTTTCTCCCCTGATTGTGACCTTTGTCCATGGGATCCCTTCATTTGGAGAGATGCCGGTCACAAGCGGGGGTTGTCGTGATCGAGACATCGTGCCTTGCGGAGCAAACTGGTGATCCTGTTACAGAAGTAATCTGTTAAAAGAGAAAGAAAAAGGGATTAGAGCCAACTGAGATAAGCACTGACTAAAAATATAAGAATGCTAGACAGTCAGTACCAAAATATAAAAAATATTCTTAAACACAGAGTTTTGAAGTGTTTAGGGGTCATTTAGCCAATCAGCCAACATCTACTGAACATTAAGTTACTAAGGACACTCTGGTTAGTATTGCAAGAAAGACGTAAGAATAACAGAAAGCTAAGCCCTGGGTTCTAAAACCTTCCAGCACAGGGGCAGAGAGAAACTAATGTCACTGTGTAGCTCCATGACTACCTCTGCTGAATCCTAAATTGATACTAGGAACTGTTCTACTCTTCTATCCCCAGGGCTGTTTAAAGGAGAACTATACTCATAAAAATAAAAACACATTTACATTCCCACCACGCCCGGTTAATTTTTGTATTTTTAGTAAAGACAGGGTTTCACCGCATTGGTCAGGCTGGTCTTGAACTCCTGACCTCGTGATCTGCCTTCCTTGGCCTCCCAAAGTGCTGGGATTACAGGCGTGAGCCACCGCGCTGGTCTCGAACTCCTGACCTAGTAAAGTGTATTGGATTTCACTTTACTTTTGTATTTATATGGTGTGCAACTCTTTTTTAATATGCTCAAATCAATGCAATATACTGACATTTCTACAAAACCTAGAATGTAGATACAGGCAGAAGCATTAATTTGCTAATTGTTGTGAGTATAACAGAGGAGGGAAAAGTGTAGTTTCTGAGACCAGGTAGACTTGTGTTCAAGTACTGTTGCTCCCATTTACTAAATCTGTTCTAAATCTCCCTCTTCTTGTATGCAAAATGGAGCTAGTAACAGAAAGCATTTCATAAGGTTATTGTAAAGAATATAGGATAATCCTTGGAAAGCACAGTACCTGGCATACAGGAGGCAAGCAATAAATAATGAAATTTTGCCGGGCGCGGTGGCTCACGCCTGTAATCCCAGCACTTTGGGAGGCCAAGGAGGGCGGATCACGAGGTCGGGAGTTCGAGACTAGCCTGACCAATGCGGTGAAACCCCGTCTTTACTAAAAATACAAAAATTAACCGGGCGTGGTGGTGCATGGCTGTAATCCCAGCTACTCAGGAGGCTGAGGCAGGAGAACTGCTTGAACCTGGGAGGCGGAAGTTGCAGTGAGCCGAGATTACGCCACTGCACTCTAGCCTGGGTGACAGAGTGAGACTCCGTCTCAAATAATAATAATAATAATAATAATAATATTTTACTAATAAACCCCTGAGAAGTCAAGTGCTCAGGGTTTCAGATGCCCCAGAAGGTGGGGTGAGACTCAGAGCAGAACAGTGAGACTTGCTGGTGACCTGTATCTTTATGGACTAAACAGTGAGACTCCCGGGCCCCCGCCTCCCTCCTTCACAGTCAGGAGAACAGAAGTTTAGTCTTTTAAGAAACCAAGCAAGAGCACCAGGACTTAGAGACCCCCAGCACAGCAGAGGTGTGGGAAACTGGGGGCAGGCTGACCAGGGATTTGGGGTGAACCTGTGCAGCAAGCCGTGGCACTCCTCGGGCTGCCTCCCTTCTCCTGCCCTCGCCACTGTGAGGTGTGTAAGCCTCTCCTGCCAATCCCACCCTGTCCACACAACTGAAGCATTATTCTCTGCAGAAACTGAAGAGTCCTAGGAAAGTAAGACCCAAAGATCCTGACACCTGAGTGTCCTCCCTGCAAAAAGGGAAGGGCCGCTTGTCCTCCTACCACCTGACGGAAAAGCCACTCGCTGTAAACTGCCCACACACAAACTCAATCAAATCGGCTGTTAACAGCCTCACTCTAAAACACGGGAGCTACAGAGGCCGTGAGCAAAAGCCTCCCCTCTGCCCTCTCAAGGGCTGCTGGAGATGAACGAGGCTGGTAACAGGAGCAAAGGGCAGACACGTTTCTTTAATGTGCGTCAGCACAGGGCACTCGCAGGAGCATGGTCACCTCTCAAACCGGTGAGGCCCAGATGCTTACAGACCCTTCTTCAAAGGGAAAGGGAGGAGGGGCGAAATGTGGCCATTTGGAGGGGCAGTAAATAATTTTTAGGGGGAATAAATGGGTTCAATGCTCAGATGGTAGTTAATAAATAATTCTGAGAATTAAATAGGACCTGAGAACTGACAAAGTCCATCTGGGCTCCAGGTGCAGTGTTTGATTTTCAGTCTCTTTTTCTATGATGTGAGTTTTAATCTTCTCTGATTAATGAAATTTCAGGGAGGAAACTGAAGGCAAATGTGCTCTTCTTCGGTCAGTCTAGTTTCTCTGCAGGTAAGGGAACTTCAGACGCACAGCCTCACGCTCTGCTTTGGGAGAGACAGGAGGGCTGCGGGGAGGGCTTGAGGCTGCTTCCTTCGTGCAGAATGTCAAAGCAACGTATTTTAGGGTATCGTTTTCTGACCCCCAACACTGGGCAGCCAAAGGCAATGAAGAAAGATATGTAAGACAAAGATGGAAGAAAGACAAACAAGAAAAAAACACAGAACAAACATATTGCAGGTGTTGTATGGCCTGAATTATGCCCACCCACCTCACTCCGCCACAGCCAAATTTCATATTTTAAGCCTAGCCCCAGTACCCCAGAATGTGGCTGTATTTAAAAAGGTGGTCTTTAAAGAGGCAATCAAGGTGAAATGAGGTCCCATGGGTGGGTCCGAATCCAGTGTGACTGGTGTCCTTATTAGAAGTGTTCTTATGAGAAGAATTTGAACAGACACACACACAGAGGGAAGGACACATGAAGACTCGGGAGAAGACGCTATCTACAAGCCAAGGAGAGAGGCCTAACACAGATCACTCCCTCACGGCCCTCAAAGGAAAACAACCCCATTGACTCCCTCATCTCAGACTTCTAGCTTCCAAAAGGGTGAGAAAATAAATGTACGTTGTTTAAGCCACTTGGTCTAGCTTACTTTGTTATAACAGCCCTAGCAAACTAACAACAGCAGACACAGAAAAAAAAAAAAAACACGTCAAAATCATTCTAAAGTTTGATCTTAAATTAATATCTAGAATTTTTTTTACCCCTAAAAGAACTAGATGCCATGAAAATAAATCAATCCAAGAATAAAAGCTCTTCAAATTTTCAAAAAGGTCCAAAGAAACATGACTTATATAGTAATGTAGTAACTGACCATCAGTTTAAACAAAATTGAAATAAGGCACAAAAGATGGGTGTGTGTTTGGGGGCAGGAAAGACAGGTAAACCAGGGAGTGACCATCTTTTATCTCACGTAATGGGAGGCTGACAGCTGATGTCTAAAACCGACCAGCAAGAAATGGCAGATTAGAAGAATCTGGAAATGTTGCCGTGGATGGCAGGAGACAGCGGAATGAGTCTGGGGTATGTTATATAATACAGTATTTGACCTCTTGTCCCTGGTTTCTGGGAGCGAGAGTCTTAAATCCTTGGTGTTTTCCCGGCAATAGGATTGTCTTTGTTATTCATGATCCTCTCAAACCACGCCATAGTACAGGCCAACAAGATGAATCAACAGCAGGACTGGCCATTCCAGAAAGACCATGGGATTAGAGGGTTAGGGTTTTGAGCAAAGCACCAGCAAACCAACCTCCTGTAGAGAGGCAGGGCTGGAGATTAAGTTCAATCCAACAAGATTTAATCAGTCATGCCTACGTAACTTATTTAATACAAATAAAATGGTGAAACAACAAAAAAGGAAGTCCAGAAAAACATTATCATTCATCCAATAAACCCAATGAGACAACTCAAAGTTACCTTGAGTTCCTCTCCTGGCCTCTGGCACCACCTGAATCACATACTCAGAATCTTTTGTCTGAATCAAAAATCAACTATTCCTCTCAATCCTACTGTTCCCTCCTATTGCCCTCCCACTTACGACCTTCGTCTTCTCCCCTCAATGCTGCAACAGACGTATAGCTGGTAACTCTGCCCCATTATCTCTCCACTGCATTCCACCCTCAGCAAATGCCAGAGCTAGTTCTCTAAAATGTGGAGCTAATCAATATCCTCCCTACCTTTAAAATAATCATCTATGAAATCCACTGCTCTGTGGTCTGCACAGCCCACAACCTCCTTCACATCCTGTTCAAAGCCTGTCACAGCTAGACTCGTCAATATTGCCTACTTCATCTCCACCATTCCTCTCCTCTGACATTCCTCACATGAGCCCATTCACTTCTTATGAACCTGCCATGTGCCTGTATTCATGTCATTCACCCTCTTTGCACTAAAGAGAAATCTCCAAGTTTATTAAATCTGTACCAATATTTCAAGTCATGCTCAAACGTTAGTTTAGTCTCCCTGATCCCTCCTTCTATTAAACTTCTACTACATAATTTTAACGTCCACTGTGTTAAATTTTAGATATTTTGTTTGTTTCTTCTTTGAAAACACATGTTTGATCAATTTTATATCCCCGCTCCTCAAGCTGAGGGATCTGACATGATGATGTCAGGACTGAACTGAGTCAGAGGATCCCTAGCTGGTGTCTGCTGGAGAGCTGCTTGCTTGGTGTGTGGGGAAACTTCACACACACCTGGTATCAGGACTGTGTACTGAGTCAGTGGCTGTGTGAAAGCAGCAAGTAGGAAAAACACTGGGATTTTTTCCTATCTCTTTATAAGCAAATAAGCAGATAACCGAAACGGACTCCAAGGTGAACCAGACAGAAGAATTAGTAGATAAGAACTTAAAAGAGTCTATAACAAATGTTATTAAAATATATGTAATCATAATGAATAAACAGATGGCTATTCTAAACAGAAGAATTAAAATTATAAAATTATTTTTTAAAAAGAAATGCAATGCAAATTCTAGAACTGAAAGGTGTACTATCCGAAATGAAAACTACACTGATTAGGCTGCACAGTAGGTAGAAGACATTTGAAGAAACAATCAGTGAACATGATTATAGATCAATATAGTTATAGAAATCAATTTATCTAAAGATATACAGTTCTTTAAAGTACTGAAAGAAAAAAAGTCCAAAATTAAAGTTGTA